GATAAACTAATTGCATTCCGTTTATTATGCAGAAAGTACTTTGAGAAACTCGAGGGTCCGATGTGTTACCATTCACACCATATAGACATGGACCCCGATCTTCAAGCTAGTAAGATATATATTTTTTCTTAATCTTTTGTTCAAAAATATTAAAATTTATGTTTTTCCTAATTTTTTCTTTTTAATTATTAAACAGGGTTGGACTCGACTAGATTATTCGGTAGGCAACTAGTGGATGAGCCCGAAGTAGCAGTACAACTAGAGATGATGCGCCTATCACAACTTCAGTTGGCACATGGATCTTCCTATCTTGAAAACACCTTTAATGAACAAAACCCGTATGAAGGTATTGTAATCCCTCGCTTTTTACATTTCTTCAGTTTCTTGATTTAGCTTTTTATTCGTTATTTTCTCAAAAAAAAAAATCTCTTTTATAGATCAAGCTGATAATTCCAAGTTCCAATCTCCAAAGCTCATCACACATCTGTTAGATCACACGGGAGCCAACTACACCGATCATGACAAGTATAACCTTTTATCTTACCTTCAGTACTCAGCAGTCACCGCAAAAAAAATTAATAATAATAAATAAATAATCATTCAACAGTCACCCACACCCTATTTGGGTGCATGTTGAACTTTTGTGCAGTGACTGCTGATGTGCTTTTGTTTAGTGAAATTGATGCTACCATCAGCAGTCACTGCCCAAACAGTGCTAAGGCTGTCTTAGCACTGTTTGGATGCATGTTGAAGTTTCTTGCTATTTTTTTTAGTGACCTTTGTTAAGTAAGCTGTGTTTCTTTGTTTATGTAGCGAAAACAGTCAAGGGTTGAATCTCCCGGATAGCCCGTTTGCATGCAACAAGGCATCTAGCAAGCAAATGTAGTGGAAGTAGCAATAAAAGAACAGCATTTAGAGTGAAGTGAGAGGTAAATAATAGCAAATGGAACATGGAAAAGAAGAGAAAGATTGAATAGAAAGCAAATGCGACAAGTATAGTTTTAGTTTATTCCATGAAGCAAAATAGCGATGGAAATATGTTTTCTTATGCTAAACTTATTAATGATAGATAAACGTGTTAAGAAATTTCGGGTTTTGGGTAAAAGATGTTTGGGAATTGGTAGATGGTTTTGGGTAAAAGATGTTTGGGAATCGATAGATGAAGTATAATAGCTAAATGAATATTCTATTTTTTAGTAACTTTAATCGGTTACAGGATAACTATAGATGGTAAAAAAAAAAAAAGTCACTTTAATGAAGTTAATTGGGTTGCATTGATTGGTCAATACTTTTTATCCGCTCTCTTAACTCTATAGTTGTTATTATTGGTAAATTGAAAGGCTCGTACAATATAGTAATAATATGTATGTTGCAGAAATTATCATTTAGATTTTACTCAATTGCTTGAATTGAATAACAAATAAATTAATAAATATAATTGTTTAGTAATTGTTGGAGAATTAAAACGATGGCGTTTGTGCATGGAATAGAGAAATGAGGTTTGACCATCTTGGTTAACGAGAGTCGCGGTAAAAGAGAGGTTAAAATGGATATTCTAAAAGTTCAGAATATACAGTGGTTATTTGATTACTAGATATTTTGTTATCACAAATCATTTTATTCCACAAACAGAACACAAGGCATCAATAGTGGAGAAAAAAAAAAAAAAAAAGCGAGAAACTAAAGTTGGCATATTTAGAAATTAAATTCCATAAATAATTAATCTTGTTGTAAATTATATTACACTAATTATTTATCTTCTAAATAGTTGGAACTGTTTGATTGGAACACCAAAAACTAATTATTACAACATAAAGTTTTTCAAAAGAAAAGTAAATATAACCACCCTGTTAGTTAATAATTGTTAGTGTATTATGCTGATGCATATTAATAATTGTTACTCTTTATCTATAAACTGGGACCCATTCAACAGTTGTCGCCAAACAATTTTTAAAATTGCATAAAGAAAGGTGCAGAGTGCAATAAAGATGCACGAGGTAGGATCAAGATCAACACAACATTGCTTTCAAAGTTACAACCAAACCCTGCCTCTTCACATTTTCAAGAGCCATTTTTCACAAAAGGAATGCATGCATATACCAATCAAAATCAAATACAAAAATACAAATGAAAAACTGTTTTTTATACATATTATTATTATATATAGCTTAGTCTCGACCAAATTCAGACTTGTACCCATGTATCAGAACCTGAAAACTATATGAATGGACATGAACAATCTCTTATCTATACCTTTCTCCATATATTTAGTTTCCTGAATTTTAATAAAAAGAAAAAAAGAAAAACACATTACACATGTTCGTACATATACAAAAAAAAAAAAAAATCGAACCAGTAGTGGACATTTCTCAATCAAAAGATTCCGGGTGTCTTCTTGCAAACCCACATTTAACAAACTGAACCTGTATGAATTAGGAAGAGTATGATCATGATTCTTTTTTTATTGATAAGGATTTTCAATTTTCAATCAGTATATTAGAAAAAGAATTTCAAAAAGACTTTCCCCATAAATCCTGATATTTACAAATTCGGTCCGATTTACATTCTGCTTCAATTTTGGTCACGTTCTCAAGTCTCTTTTAAAGTTTAAACATCACTGATCCATATAACACTTAACATGGGGGAATAGAGAAACAAGGCCTTATTGTCTACCAAAACCAATTAACCATTAGAAGTAAAATCAATGCTAGTGGTTTGGGTCGAAAAAATCTCCTCATCTAATCTTTATTGATGGGTATTTTAGAAATTTGACAAATAAACATTTTTTCAAACTACATATTAGGTCAAACAATGGCAAGAACAGAACACAGAATCATAGTTTTAATGATCATTATTCTTTTCTACCATTCCTAATTACTCTATAAACTTTCAAATATAAAAAGGTAAACAGGATACTAACCTTGAAATAAATTAAGCATCATTTTGAAGCCAATTTCGATTTCTCACTTGTCTCAAAATTAGTTAAAAGAACCCGGATCACTACCTGCATTACCACCAAAACAACATTATTACATAAACAACCCTCAAGAACAATCACATAAAATATAAACATCAGACTTACCAAATAAAAAAAAAAGCACAAAACTTGTGACAGAATTCGAGTTACATTAGAAACCAAAACTTCCTGTCCTTTGATCATGACCTTTCATATTTTTTTGCTAAATCTTTGAGTAGTAACCTTTGACGAAATGCCAAGTACTTATCTACACTAGTTCCCGCCCATTGCTGACAAAAGCTTTCATCATTTGGAACAAATGAACTTAAAGGAAAGGGTCCCACCGGAGCTTTTTTCAGGGCAACCAAAAACCGATGGCGGGGCCGGATCCTCTGGTCTAAGGATAGGCTTAGATACGTTGGATACTTGGTCAAAGATTTGACCTCGTTTTGAAGTTCATTCACCAAATACAAGTATTTAGGCTTCAAATTGTCCTCAAGAGACAATGAGAACACCTACATATCCCCCCATAAACACATTATCAGTTATTGTAACATTTCCCAATATACCCATAGTGGTAGCAAGAGTAAAGTATAAGCAAAAACTACCTGTGTGAGGCTAGTAGAGACTTTTAATATGTCTGAGTTGTGCATGCCGATACTCCTCAAGAAGTTAATTCTTGGTAACATGCCATCTTCAATACTGTAATGAAGGAGCTGAGGATGTTTCGTGACCATTTTTACTATATTGTCCCTGGGTGCATCGAGTTCTTTTGTAAGGAATCTATACCTCGCATTCCATGAATTATCAATCCGTTGAACCAAAATTTGAGGGCTTAATTGCACAACTTTACTCAAATCACTTTCTTTAATACCAACTTCTTCAATCAGATACCTCACAGTAGGCTTTAATGAATTTTCCACACTGTAAGAGAAGATCGATGGGGTAGCAGTAATTATCTGTCCGATTCTTGAATCCTGAATTCCCAAATTTACCAGAAACGCCACGTGGGATTTCAGATTGCTTTCGACTGTATACTGCAAAATCTGTGGTTGTCTCATGAGGATTTTCTTTATATCTTTACTTTTTACACCAACACTCATCAAGAACTCTAATCTTTCTCGTGCTGCGGTGACGTTTATTTGAAGTGAAGGCATGTGTCTTCCGTACATTTGGATGAAGTGAGAATCTTTAAGGCCAAAAGTTGTGAGGTAGTCGAGTAGTGGAAACCATTTTTCGTCTACTTCTATTTCCTCTGATAAACGCCGATATTTGTTCTTTGAAGACTTCCCTGCCTCCTTATCTTTCTCTGTGTAATTGACCTTTCCGTTTCCTTTGATAACTTTCAGCTTCCTACCCATTCTTGAATACATGCTACCTCCATTGACATTACTTGCAGCTTGCAACTTGCTTTTCGCTTTATCATCACTATAACCTGGTCCTGGGCCCTGTAGAAATACCAATATACCATAGAGTCAAAGGGCATAGTATTGAGCGAAGAGGTCGAACAGAAATAAACGCTATAGATTAACCACTGAAGAACCCTAAAAATGCATAAACCGATAAACCCTAAAACGCGATATAAGATAAAATGAAGGCAAGAGATAGCTCACATCTGAGAGCCAATCATCGTCATCGTCATCAATAGCTTCATTTTCGTTGTCGCTATCGTACGGAGATAGTCTCTGACCGAACCTAGAGCGACGATTGGACTTGAGAATTTTGGGATTTGAATGCGATGACGATACAGCAAACCTGCCAATGCTTTTTCGTCTTCTTGAATTTAACCCATTGTGTAAGTAAAGCTTCAAGCTTTCGAAATACGAAAAAGAATGACTGTGAAGGAGAGAATTTGATGTGTACAGAGAGGAAACTGCCATTCCTTTTGGGGATAAGGAGAGATGATTCTAAAACCCTAATAGTCAGAAGGAGTTGTAGTAGAATATCCGGTGTGGCCACCATAGTTGGCTTGCTGTCCTGTCTGGATTCCACACAATCGCTAAGTAGTGTTTTAATTCCTTTAAACCCTGAGGACGACTATGGTTTGTTGTTAAGCAATATAGGTAGATGCTGACTGTATCCAAATCGACAAAAATAAACGTAGATATGCTGACTGGCAAGAATTGGATAAGACCTAATTAAAAGCGATTACCTGTTCTTGTATTTGTGAACTTCTGGCTCTTGGTTCTTGATTTGGTTTGGGAACCAAAACCAAATAGAGTTTTTGTTAGGCCGAAAGGAGTGGACGCGGGGAAACGTAGCAGACGCTTTCCGTCTGGCGGAACATCGCACCGTTGGCGTGGAAAGCATAGTGCGGGAAACAGAGAGGGGAGTCTCTCTCGTTCTCTCTCTTTTGTTGCGATTGGCTGACGATAAAAAAAATATTTTTGAAAAATATATCTTTTTTTTTTTTGAAAAACAACCGTTAATCAACGGTAAAAAAAATATTTTTTTTGCTGTAACGGCTCTTTGTGGTTTTTTTTTTTTTTTTTTTTTTTTACTCCTATAAATACATACATATATTGTCAAATATCACACTACCCTCTCTATTCTTTCTACTTTATATCAAAAAAAAAAAAAAAAAAAATGAATCCCGACAATCAAATCTCAACTTCCGATCGAAGGAAAAAAAAAAGTCATGGTTCGAGTATAAACATCCCTGCTCGCAACATTTTTGCTATCGATTCATCCCCGCAAGGAGTTTACCGCCCCTAACTCGATGCTCACATTCAATCCCCACTACAATTTCAATACCAAAATGTTGGCCAATATTACCCGATGCAAGTTCCAAATGTTCCGTCGCAAATGTTTCTAAACTTTGTTGTGTTTCCAAATCAACAATAGCCAAATCAGCCTCAACCTCAAACTCAAACTGAAACTCAAACCCAAACCCAACAACAACACCAATTGTCGATGAATCGGATGACGCAGAAGAAGAAGATATGGTTCCCGAAACTCAACCAACACCAACACCACAAAGATGTAAAGGGAAAATAAAGCGTGCGAGAGTGTCACACAACCGGGAAGACAAAAGCCGACAGCATGGGTTCCACACAAAGAGCTAGTGTTGATCAAAGCTTGGGTTGATATTTCTGAAGATTCGATTAAGGGAAACGCACACCCGGGAGAACACTTTTGGTTTCACATTTTAGAACGATTTCGAGAGGAACTAGGAAAATGTGACGACTACCGTACGAAACATCAACTTAATTCGAAGTTTCGAGAAATAGCAGAGGGGGTTTCAAAAATTAACGGGTTGTACAACAATCTAAAAACCCAACGAAAAAGCGGCCAAGGTGACGAATAAATACTTATAGAAGCGTTGCAGTTTTACATTGAGGAAGTCGAAAAACTATTCAAGTGACACGATTGTTGGAAATTATTGGTCCGAAGTCCTAGATGGAAAAAATACGAACATGATTTTATTTTTGGAGTCCAACAATCAAAGCGAACTAAAACGGGCTCTAGTGGTTATACAACCTCCTCCGATGCTCGAGTCGGTCTAGATTTAAATCAGAACGACGAACTCGAGCTAGAAGATATTGTCCGCCCAATGGGTATAGTCAAAGCGAAGAGAAAGGGAAAAGGGACTTCTTCGAGTGCATCCGATTTCAGCGTGGATATTGACGAAATGCGGAAAATAACATCGTCGTTTGATCAATATAATCTAAATTTCTCCGAACGTTTGGCTTTCGACAAAAAAAAAAAAGAAGAAACGAGGAAAAAGGAGCGAGCGGAGAGATAATAAATGGAAGGCATGAAGTTTTTGATGGAAAACGTCGATCATCTATCGGGACCGGCTCTCGAGCTCGTGATGAAGAAGAGGGAAAAAAATTCTTAAAAAATATTTTCCGTATGTCGTTGTTGGTTTGTTTGATTTTTAGTTTGTGTGTGTGTGTTTTTTTTTTAGTTTTCTACTTTTTTAAATTTTAGGTTTAATGTAAGTTTTATTTTAATTAATGAAATGCTTTTTATTTTTAATTAAATTTTATGTTTAGTATTAATTTAAAAATTATAATTCATAACAAAAAAAAATAATTTTATTTAATAAAAAAAGTGAGGGAATAGTTTCTCACCCATTCTTTGAGTTTTAGGTGAGAAAAGAAAAGTAAGAGAAATGAGGGTATGACCCACAAAAAATGAAGGAAGCTTCCCTCCCACTCCTTCCAGTCTTAGAACTATTTTTAAAGCTTGTAACGACTTTGTATTTATATTTTTCATAACTATATAGTTCATAGATTATAGTAGTTTGTGGTCCGGTTAGAGACCAACTTAGATCTAAACCAAAATTAGTAGATTACCAAACAAGTTTAAAATTGATATGGTTATCGATGGGGAACTGATTCGTACACAACACTTTTTTTCCATACACAACAATTTGTGCTTTAAAGTGTTGTATTGTACAACTCTATAATGCATAAATTGTTGTGTACGGCAAAAAACTGTTATATACGAATCACTTCCCTTATCGATGTGTATATAATATAATTTAGTAAAGTAGTGATAAAATCACTAAACAGTAAACACCTTTCTATCAGACCTAGCAAACAGCATACCATAAACCATAAGAACGAATCAAAGTTTTCTAATTGTAATAGCAAATTGTGAATCTAACAAAATCCTAACCAAGATCAATAAAAAATACGTAAAATTGTCTCTTCACGTTTTACGAAGCAGATTGGCCGCACAAATTGGTTCAATGGGACTTAACCGATCAATAAAAAATGCATAGATTCAACATTATTTGAGAATAAAATAAGGGAGAATTTCATATACGCCCCTCTTAAACTTCAAAATATCATATTTGTCCAACTTAATTTCTCAATATCATATTTACCCTTCATAAACCTTCAAAATATCATATTTGCCCAAATCTTTTTTTATAATGTTTTTAATATTTTATAATAATTCTTTATACCTTAGAATTATTATAATAATTAAAAACATTAACCATATTATCCTTACGTGTGTGATAATGGAATGTGAACTTCTAAATTGTTGGAATGTCGCCCTCTTGACAAACAAAAAAAAATTCATCTTCAACCCTCTATATAGAATATATATTTTGATTGTCTAGTTTTTGTTGTTGTTGATTATTATTATGTTGTAGATAGAGGTTATTTTAGATATTACCATTGATATTTTGATGTTTAAAATGTACATATACGATATTTTGATATTTAAGAAGGGTATATATGATATTTTGATGTTTAAAAATGAGATATATGATATTTTGAAATTTTATGAAGGGTAAATATGATATTTAGAAATTTCATAAAGGGTAAATATGATATTTAAAAATTAAGTTGGATAAATATGATATTTTGATGTTTAGGAAGGGCATATATGAAATTCTCCTATAAAATAAAATGAATGGCAAGAAAATAGGGATGTAATAAAAAACTGAAACCGAATAACCAAAACGAAGCAAATGATGTTTTGTTTATTTGCTTTAGGTTATTTGATTATTTGGCATCAGTTTGGTTAACCGAATAATGATTACTTATTGAACAAATTATTGAAATCGTCTATGTGGTTTGCTTAAAATTATTTGTTTGGTCCCTAACTTTTTTTTTTGTACTAGGATCGTCCTTACTATTTGTTTTTGTTTCGTTTTTCATCCATATTGTTTGTTTTTGTTTCGTTTTTCGTCCTTACCAAACTTGAAAATATTATAATACCCTTATTTAAAAAAAAATTATTATTAGTATTTATTTATTTCTTTTATTGTTTTCATATAAACAAAAGTACAAACCTTTTAAACCCAATGTAAAACCACACACCTACACCCTAATAAAAAAAAGTATGAAAAACACAAAAATAGTGGGGTATGAAGCTTACCTTTAAGATTTTGTGTGGTAGAATAGAGTGAGTTAAAGAGATTTCGAGCCTAGTCTTGCACCTCTTGAAGGTATTCTCGAAATTTCAAGTGTTTCTAAGCACTTAACACACAACAAAAGTGTGTAAACAAGAACGTGGTATCATAAAAATGTTTAGAATTACAAGGGCTACATGAAGTTCTTACCAAATGATTAAGATTTTTCCTTGAAGTGAACTCGTTCCTTGAAGATGGTCTCGAAAATTTTAAGGGAAAAGATGAGAGGTTGATAAGGAACCCTAGATTCAAGGTAATGCAATTTAAATACGAAGAAACCCCTAAAAGATCATGGGCTTGGGCTGTAGTCTTCCTCATGATGTGACAACACTCATGTCAAGTTGTGACATGCTTCCCAGATACACGATTTGCCTTTGACTTGTCAACTCGTAACCTCCCTATGGTTACGTTGTGACACCCGATTTTTCCCAAACGTATTTTTGTATTTCTTTTAAACGTATGGACATTTTCTGTAAAAAAAGGCATATGAACATTTTCTGTAAATTACATGGATAATTTTTTTAATTTATTTTTTTACATGGGGGTCAAACCTGCCACATATGAAAATCTTAAATATATGAACTATTTTTTGCCAACATACGAAAGTCTTGTGACCAAAGTATTAAACCCAAAAACTCTAAGAACTAAACCTACAAATAGACAAATCATTATGTTGTTAGAGTATGAAACCCAAAAATTATATGGACTCACTGTGCCAATATACAAAACTTTTGTGGCCAAAACCTCAAACCCAAAAGTCCCCTATTTATTTCTCAATTGAATTATCTTATTTATATCAACTATCAATACATGAGCATAAGCTTGTTGCATGTTTCCTTTCCTACAATTCTTTGTACTGTGACCACTAAATAGTTTTTGAAGCATGTTCTTTAGATCAAAAAATTGAATTAATATATAATAATAATAATAATAATAATAATAATAATAATCAAACTTGTATAATGTTTAGGGATGGCAAAAAAATCTCATACCCAATAGGAAACC